CAGAAGAGTTTTGGTCGTGTTGAATTTTGTGAATCGTGTTCTTTTGTGCGTTTGGACTCGCAGCTTGCTGATTCCTCCCGACCACCCGAGCAGGAAGCGAGGAGACAACTACTACCTGAACAGGTGAGCCGCACCGCCCGCTACCCACAATGCATCTGCAGAGAATCTTCTGCTGTTGTTCTGTGTTGGTTCTGTAACAAACAGGTTTGACGTGTTTGGGTTTTTTTTTTTTTAATCATCCAAATTACAACATTTATCAACCAGAAACTGTGAATTCAAAAACAACAGTTAATAAATATGTTTATTTCATCATAGCTTAATTAAACTGAGCTCAACTTAACTTTTATCTTGTGGTAACTTAACCTAACTCAGCTAAACGTGACTTAACTAAACTTTGCTGATCTTATTTAACTTATCTTAACTCAACTTCACTGAACTTTCTTTATCTTAACTTAATTAAACTTAGCTAACCGTAGCTTATCTTTTCTTGTCTTATCACAACTTAACTTCGCTAAACGTAGCTTAACTCTCTTTTCTTATTGTATCTTATCATAACGTAGCTTAGCTTAACTTATCTAACTTAACTTATCTTAACTTACTTAGTTTAGCTTAGTTTAGCTTAGCTTAGCTAAACATAATTTATCTTTTCTTTTCTTATCTTGTCATGGCTTAATGTAACTTAGCTCGACTTACCGTATCATAACTTAGCCTAACTTAACCTATCTTAACCTAACTTTGCTTAGCTTAGCTTAACTTAGCCTAACTTATCTTAACCTAGTTTAGCGTCACTTAGCTTAACTTAGCCTAACTTAATTTCTCTTAATCTTACTTAGCTTAGCTTAGCTTAGCTTATTCCATCTCTGCACCAGGTTTCATGGTATTCTCAACAACACTGGCGTTTGTTGGCCATATGACATGTTCCACCTGCCAGCAGGAACCTCCAGATGGTCAAACCAGATGCTGTAGACACAAGAACATCTGGAACGAGCAGCGTCTGGTCTCTTAGCATCAGAGAAGCGCCACTGACCCTGTTTGTGTCGGCCAACAGATCCACGATGCTCCGCGCTCACACGTCGGCCCACCAGAGGGAGCTGGTGAGGTCGGGGCTGGACGCCTTCCTGTTGGCCGGAGACGTTTACCGGCGGGACGAGATCGACGCCAGCCACTACCCGGTCTTCCACCAGATGGAGGGAGTCCGGCTCTTCTCCAACCACGAGGTGCTGCAGAGCGTCAAACGCTTTAATTCTTGAAAAACCGCTAGTCAGCCTTAGCAGATCACGTTTTGGGAAACTTTCCATCACTTGACCCGTTGTTGAGGCGGGTTGAATGAGGAGTAACTACACCTGAAATCCCTCCTGTGCTGCCATCTAGTGGCCGCTGTGTGTTCAGTCAGCACAGCGTTTATTTATACTGTAAAGTTTTACCTTCATAAAACCTTCAACTGTGACTAAATTAGTTCAAATGAGACCCAGTCAGCAAATTGAGTAGTTTTCTTCACTGTTTCAGTACTTTTCTATTCTAGTTTCATTCAGCCGACTGGTTTTTATTCTTTTCTTGTCTTTTCGTACCTCAGCTCTTCTCTGAGGTGCGTAGCGGCGACCTTCTGTCTCTGTTCGAGCGAGGCGGTCGCAGGACTCCGGGGAAGCAGGAGACTCACAGTCTGGAGGCCGTGAAGCTGCTGGAGTTCAACCTGAAGCAGACTCTGACTCGACTCGTTGCTCAGCTGTTTGGAGAAGGTCAGGAAGCTGCTGCTGGAGGCTTTAGCTCCGACTCAGATGTTTGTGATGTTCGATGTTTAAACTCTCGTCCTCCTCCTCAGACGTGGAGATCCGGTGGGTCGACTGCTACTTCCCCTTCACTCATCCCTCCTTTGAGATGGAGGTGCGTTTCCAAGGCGACTGGATGGAGGTTCTGGGATGTGGAGTGATGGAGCAGGAAGTGCTGAACTCAGGTCAGACAAACACAGGTCACTGATTGGTCGTTGCTTAGTGAAGCTCAGGATGTTTGGTTTAACAGCTGTTTCCTCTTCACACACAGACACACACTTTGCAGCATCGAAACAAATCTAAAAACTTTCTTCTTCTTCTCGAGTTTTATTCGTCTCTCTTTCCTGTCAGCCTACTATGTAGCTAACTCTCAGCTAGCTTGCTGCCAACTTGCTGCTACCTTGCCTCTATCTTGCTGCTAGCTTACTGCTAACTTGCTGCTAGCTTGCTGCGAACTTACTGCTAACTTGCTCCTAGCTTGCTGCTAGCTTGCTGTAACTTGCTACTAGCTTGCTCCTAATTTGTTGCTAGCTCGCTGTCACTTGCTACTAACTTGCTGCTCACTTACTGCTTGCTTGGGACTAAGTTGCTGTTAACTTGATGCTAACTTACTGCTGGCTTGGTCCTTGCTTTCTGCTAACTTGCTCTTACGTTACTGCTTGCTACTAATTTGCTGACACTTTCCTGCTAGCTTGCTGCTAGCTTGTTGCTAACTTGCTCCTAGCTTGCTACTAACTTAATACCAGCCTGCTGCTAGCTTGGTGCTAACTTGCTCCTAGCTTGCTACTAACTTAATACCAGCCTGATGCGAACTTGTTGCTAGCTTG